TCGCAGATTGCCCAACTACAGCTGTCACGGAGAGAACGTGCTGTGCTTGTGTGCCTGGCCTCGGGGCATCTCCACAAAATCAGTGCAAAATCTGGCACAGCAACCAGCCAAAAGACTCCGTAGCTTAGAGCTAAGGTTTGGATTGCAAAGAGCAGAGCAGTGACTTTCTAATCCTGTGTAATTCTATAACAACAGATTTCTTATTGAAGGAGCTGCAGGTAGATTACTGCCGTGCAGCCTTATGCATTTGTCTGGCCAAGCGTACAAGATCCTGAGGTTTTATCAGGGAATGCAAGGAGCAGCAGCTTGGAGATGTTCCAGATGAAGGCAATAATGCCCAGATACAAAAAGAAAGTGAAAAGCAGAAAAGGAGAAGGACTGAGATCAGTATGTTCTTCAGCTTCCTTTTCTAAAACCTCTAGAGTTTGGTAGAGCCAGCTCTGTGTCAGCAGACTCATATCTCAGGCAGTGTTTCCTCTGAAACCAGCACTGCAGACCACTTTCACATTTACTTTAGATCCTGCTTCATCAGCTTTTAACTGCATGAACCCACAGCCTGTCGCAGTTGCTCTGGTTTTGGCTGTTTTATTTGGACTCCTGTCAGCAATCGTTTATTCCAAGTGGGACTCCCAGTCCATTTATCACTGTCATCATGTTACAGCAGCCAACCCTCTTTCTTCCCCCCAAAATAAAAGCTTTTTGGTGGCTGTGTCTCCCTCCAGAAATGCCAAGTTCCAGGCTGCCTGCTGCTTTTCGGATTTCTCAGGACTCTGTGTGGGCCACAAGCAGAAATTTCAGGACAAAAAATCAAGTAACTCCTCCTTATTATAAGCCAAATCTCTTCTTCCCATATTAACTTATTGGTGCTGCACTGGGAATGCTAAAAGCAAAAGTGTGCAGGCACAAGTGGCAAGCAAGAGGTGAATTTCACACCAAATTTCAAGTCCCAACCTAAAGCTATGCTGGCCTTTCTTCCCTACAGATAAAGCAGCATGGACAGAGGATGTTTGCCTCAGAAACTGCAGAGACCCACGTCTTCCATTTACTGGCAGAACCATTGGGAAAAAGGAAATGGTTCTCCAAACCTCTTTCACAATAAGTAAGTCCTGGAAAGTCGTTATTACAGCAATTTCTTATAAATCAGCCTGTGTACTGGAGCAGTCAGCAAGGGTCAGGCTAGGACAGGTGGACGCTCTGATGTCCAGCACAGCCTGTAATACTCAGGAAATACACAAGGACCTTCTTTTAAACAAGTGGGATTTGTCTGAAGCCTCCCAAACGCTGTGGTTGCAGCTATAGCTTTCCTTTTGAAGAGAATGATTGATCTGACCTTCCTGCGGGGGCTAAGGCTCCATCTTTCCTATAAAATAATAGGTAACTGTCAACTTCAGACCATGTAGAAGACCCACCTCTACCCCACTGCTCAAGCTCAAGTCCCTAGGAGGGAAACAATCCTCTTGCCATCCGTATTCCACGGCATATCCTTGGCTCGCCTCCATGGCACAGCCTGCTTGGAGAGCTCTCCTCCTGTCAGGGCTTCCCTGGGACTCATCTAACTCCTGTTGCATAAACTCTGGAAGCGTGTTTATAAGAGAGGATTAATTTAGGCACAGAACCTTCTCCACCCTTGACAGCAAAGGCTCAAAAGGAGCTTTTTCTATTTCCAGGTGAACAATAAACCTCGAGACTCACAGCTCAAAGTTTATGTAGGAACAAAGTTTGGGTGGCCGCTGTTGTGAAGATCCCAGCGACTGCAATCATTCCTCTTTGTTTTTCTTCCCTGCCAGACTCTTAACGTCACATCTGGGAGACTCTGAAGCTGCAGAAACTCTCCTCCATCCGTACTCTGGACGCACACCACAGCCTCCCTCCCTTGTACTTTGTACCGCAGGGTGTCAGGAGAGATGGGAGGAACCAGGTGGGAGAGGGAAACACCTTACCATTACAGGGCCACCTGGGCTGCCTACCTTCTACACAGCTCATGTACCTGGGCTGCCTACCTTCTACACAGCTCATTTCTAGCACAGCACGTTTCTAGCAGAACAATGACTCCTGAACTAAAAGAATTCCTCCCAACGTTACTTTCTCTGGTAAGAGAACCTTTGCTTGCTCGTCTGTTTCACCACATGGCAGCCACTGGACGTTTTCACAGAATCACAGAATCTTCTAGGTTGGAAGGGACCTTAAAGATCATCTTGTCCAACCGTCAACC